GTTCTTAATTGCTTGTTTACTAAGGCAGAAAGCTCCTCTGAAACATCTTATTTGATGCTGATTTCAGTCTTCTCCTGCAATGTACAACAGTGGGGTTTCATTGATCATTTTCTAGGATACTTTTGAGTTCATTCGGGTCCAACATATTTCAGCTGTACCTTGTGAAAAGCGGTAATGTCTGTTGTGCCCTAGAATCTCCTACATGGATTAGGTTGCAAATGCATAAAAAATAATTGATAATTAGAATCCAATTCCACAAGCAAGAGTTTAAAAAATTCATATTCTTAAGCAATGATTGCCTGGATTACAGTTATAAACAGGATATTACTGGGGAAAATTTTATAAATGTCTGTATAAACAAAATACAGCTATATAATTTGTTTAAACTTACAGTAGAAAAGGGATTTGCATCCTTCAGTTAATTAGCTTGTTACATTTGTATCCTGATTTTTGTACGGAAGCTCAAGGCAGTTTACATAGCACTCCCTCTATATTTTTCCCACAACTCTGTGAGACAGGTTGTGCAGAGAGAATGAGCGGCCTATTCTCCTCCTGTAAGCTTCCATGGCATGTTAGTTTTCTCTTTTCACTTTAAAATTAATCAGCTATTTGCCTGTTTCAATGCCTGTATAGAGGTACTGAGATAAATTTGGCTGAAAATATTAAAATTAATTTCAAATTAATTTTGGTAGAATCATAATATTACAGCATTATTGGAAGAGCTAGATGGATAATTTCCAGCCCTTTTTTGTTTGGGATACAGTTTTTAAAGCTGTAAATGGGGGAAAGGGTACTGGGGAAGAGGCAATAATTTTCAGTGTGATTTCAGGATTTTGGGGGTAAAAATGAGATGCTGGGGGTGCATGTAACCCATGCCTTGACCAACTCTGGGGTGGGGAAAGCCTTGCTGGTACTATTATGACATTTACATAATAAAAGTATTATTGAATTTAGTCAAACTCTGAATAAGTAGTTAGAGGTGGGTTTCAGACTGAAAGTAGTGTCCAATAAAACCAGATGCTTCATGACTAATCTGGTAATGTATGCTAGTGTAGAATGGCAGCTGCTATAGTTCTAATTTTATGCAAAACTCCAGAATAGGAAGAGGAGGAATTCTGCATTGCTGGTTCATCCTGAAATTAAGACTTATGCAGT